CAATAGGTCTTGGATAGGGCCTGAGAATTTGCATTTTTGACAAGTACCTTGGTGATGCTGATGCTGCTTACTTAGAGACCACACTTGGACAATCACGACTCTGTGACATCCATGGCAAACAACATCTCCTGATATTTTCCATGAAGGGCCTTCTTTTCCTGCATCCATACAACTCGTTGCTCAAATTACCTTTTATTCTATCTTTGTTGAAATCTATCTAACAGGCTTGGCTCAAATATGATTTCTTAAACACAAGAGAAAACAAACAAGACATCAATAGTGAATACTCTTCCTTTATATTTCCGTTACCTTTATCTGTACTTCTCTTACGGCATCTCCCACATTCTGCTTCGGGTTGAGAGCCCTTGTGAACACAACATAGGTCTCCTTGCAGGTTGTGGTTCCTCAAGGCAGTTCTTCCTCCTCTCTATCCCTGGACACCCACTGAGGTGTTGACCCAGAGCAGGAACTCAGTTCAGATGTGCCAAATTAAATAACTGCTGCTGAAATGGTTCTGCCCACCCCCCTCCCAGTCTCTGAGTGTATGTATATGTGTGTATTGTGTAATGCTATACACACACAGGTGTGTGCATAGCTCACGCACTTTTTTTTTTTTTTAACTTTTTTTTTTTTTTAATTTTTTGTTTATTGCAGTAACATTGGTTTATAACATTGTAAAAATTTCAGGTGTACATCATTGTACTTCTATTTCTGCATAGATTACATCATGTTCACCACCAAAATACTAATTACAACCCATCACCACACACATGTACCCAATTATCCCTTTCACCCTCCTCCCTCCCCCCTTCCCCTCTGGTAACCACCAATCCAATCTCTGTCCCTATGTGTTTGTTTATTGTTGTTATTATCTACTACTTAATGAAGGAAATCATACGGTATTTGACCTTCTCCCTCTGACTTATTTCACTTTGCATCATGCCCTCAATGTCCATCCATGTTGTCACAAATGGCTGGATTTCATCGTTTCTTATGGCTGAGTAGTATTCCATTGTGTATATATACCACATCTTCTTTATCCATTCGTCCCTTGATGGGCACTTAGGTTGCTTCCAAGTCTTGGCTATCGTGAATAAGGCTGCAATGAACACAGGGGTGCATGTACCTTTGCAAATTGGTGTTTTCAAGTTCTTTGGATAAATACCCAACAGTGGAATAGCTGGATCATATGGTAGTTCTATCGTTGATTTTTTGAGGAATCTCCATACTGTTTTCCATAGTGGCTGCACCAGTTTGCACTCCCACCAGCAGTGTATGAGAGTTCCCTTCTCTCCACAACCTCTCCAACACATGTTGTTTCCTGTCTTGTTAATTATAGCCATTCTGACGGGCGTGAGGTGATATCTCATTGTAGTTTTGATTTGCATTTCCCTGATAGTTAGTGATTTTGAACATCTTTTCATGTGTCTGTTGGCCATCTGTATATCTTCTTTGGAGAAATGTCTGTTCAGGTCTTTTGCCCATTTTTTAATTGGGTTGGTAGTTTTTTTGTTGTTGAGATGCATGAGTTCTTTATATATTTTGGAGATTAAGCCCTTATCAGATGTATGGTTTGCAAATATCTTCTCCCAATTGTTAGGTTGTCTTTTCGTTTTGTTGATGGTTTCCTTTGCTGTGCAGAAGCTTTTTAGTTTGATGTAGTCCCATTTGTTTATTTTTTCTATTGTTTCTCTTGCCCGGTCAGATGTGGTGTTTGAAAAGATGTTGCTAAGACTGATGTCGAAGAGCGTACTGCCTATGTTTTCTTCTAGAACTTTCACAGTTTCAGGTCTTACATTCAAGTCTTTAATCCATTTGGAGTTAATTTTTGTGCATGGTGTAAGGTAAGAGTCTACTTTCATTTTTTTGCATATGGCTATCCAGTTTTCCCAACACCATTTGTTGAAGAGACTTTCTTTTCCCCATTGTATGTTCTTGGCTCCTTTGTCAAAGATTAGCTGTCCATAGATGTGTGGGTTTATTTCTGGGCTTTCGATTCTATTCCATTGATCTGTGTGTCTGTTTTTGTGCCAGTACCATGCTGTTTTGGTTACTATAGCTTTGTAGTATATTTTGAAATCAGGGAGTGTGATACCTCCAGCTTTGTTCTTTTTTCTCAGGATTCCTTTAGCTATTCGGGGTCTTTTGTTGTTCCATATAAATTTTAGGATTCTTTGTTCTATTTCTGTGAAAAATGTTGTTGGAACTTTGATAGGGATTGCATTGAATCTATAGATGGCTTTAGGAAGTATGGACATCTTAACTATGTTAATTCTTCCAATCCAAGAGCACGGAATATCTTTCCATTTCTTTGTGTCTTCTTCAATTTCTTTCAGAAATGTTTTATAGTTTTCGGTGTACAGATCTTTCACCTCTTTGGTTAAGTTTATTCCTAGGTATTTAATTCTTTTTGTTGCAATTGTAAATGGGATGGTATTCTTAATTTCTCTTTCTGCTACTTCGTTGTTAGTGTACAGAAATGCAACTGATTTTTGTATGTTGATTTTGTATCCTGCAACTTTACCATATTCGTTTATTACTTCTAAAAGTTTTCTGGTGGATTCTTTAGGGTTTTCTATATATAAAATCATGTCATCTGCAAATAGTGACAGTTTCACTTCTTCCTTTCCAATTTGGATCCCTTTTATTTCTTTCTCTTGCCTGATTGCTCTGGCTAGGACTTCCAATACTATGTTAAATAGGAGTGGTGACAGTGGGCATCCTTGTCTGGTTCCTGTTCTTAGAGGGATAGCTTTCAGTTTTTCACCATTGAGGATGATATTAGCTGTGGGTTTCTCATATATGGTCTTTATTATGTTGAGGTACTTTCCTTCTATACCCATTTTATTCAGAGTTTTTATCATAAATGGATGCTGGATCTTGTCAAATGCTTTCTCTGCATCTATTGAGATGATCATGTGATTTTTGTTCTTCATTTTATTAATGTGGTGTATTACCTTGATTGATTTGCGAATGTTAAACCATCCCTGCATACCTGGAATAAATCCCACTTGATCATGGTGTATAATCTTTTTAACGTATTGTTGTATGCGATTTGCTAGTATTTTGTTGAGGATTTTCGCATCGATGTTCATCAGTGATATTGGCCTGTAATTTTCTTTTTTTGTGTTGTCCTTGTCTGGTTTTGGTATCAGGGTAATGTCAGCTTCGTAGAATGAGTTAGGGAGCTCACGCACTTTTTAAAAAAAACTAATTTTAACCAACAAGTGAAGGGAGAACAGGGCCCCCTAATCTTACCTGTTTGTAAGTTTTATATTTTTATAACATCAAACCTGCTTGTCTTTTCCTTTATGGTTTCTGTCTTTTGTGTTCTGCTTAGAAATTGTTTCTTTTGTAGATTATTAAAATATTTGCCTATTTTTTCTTGCTGCTTTTATAGTTTTCAGTTTTTAAAAAATATTCCATATTCCAGATGAATTAAAGGGTTATGTTTTAGAAGTAAGTAGGAAGCAAAATGTCTGCTTTATTTCTTTTCCTAGTAGCTAACAAATGATCATTTAGTGACTCATTCCTCTTTTTCCCAGTGATCTGAACTGCCAGCTTCGTCATCTTTCAAATATGTCAAAATGTCTCTGGATTTACTGTGTTGGATCAATGCCACATTTTGCTTTTTAAAATATTTTTATATTACTTTGGAACCCTTCCATGCATATAAACATATATGGGGAATAACATTACATAAAATGTTTTTTTCCATTCAACAATACAAAGAACACACTGTTTTAATGATTTGTTGTGGATTTGCAGTTATTTTAAATACCTGGCATTATATTTTTTGCTCATCCGTGTTCTTCACTGTTGGTGTTCTCCATGGGTGAGCCTACCAAGTTGCAGTCACCTCCCTCCCCTCCTGAAAGTCTGGCACTTGGGAGGAAGAGGGTCAGAAGCACATGGAGGATCCATTGGTTTGAAGGTTGTACAGGCAGCAGCATATCAAAGGGCCTCTCTGGTGGGCAGGATGTTAGGAAACCTTTCCAGCCAAAGGTCATGGGCAGAGAACTGGCTGTAAGAGGGGCCGTAGCAGATGACCAAAATGGTTCATCACATTGGCAAGTGGACATGGGCAATAGAAGGAGAAACATTCTTAGTCAAACTCTGAGTGTCCCCTGGACTTCCTTAGCGTCTTCTGGAAGGTACATGCATGATGGAGGAGCCACCCTCCTAAGATACACCACCACTTGAAACCCTTTAAGAACTTGCCTTATCGTTAAGTTGTTCCTAGGAAACAAAGCTAAAAGTTGATTTGCAGTCAGACTTATGCTACTGTTTTGTAATTGTTTTGCCCTTGGGGGTTCTCCACATAATATTTTATTTTTAAATTTTAGTGAGCACCAGATTAGAAATGTGCTTCAAAGAGGAAAGACATACAGGTTTTTAAAAGAACGTATATTTTATATTCTCGTGGTGGTATTTTTTGGTAGTTAAGGCATGAGTACCGAAATCAGGCAGGTCTGGGTTCAAATCCCTCTTTGCCACTTCCCAGCTGTGTGACCTTAAGCAAATTACTTATCCTGTCTGAGCCTGTTCCATCTTTACAAAGTGTTGAAGGATGAAATGAGAAAATGTTTTAAAAATAAGTGTTAACGTTGATTACCAGCTTGTATTATATTACTTAATCCTTATAATAGCCTTGTGAATTAGACACTGTTACTGTCATTTTATAGCTGAGAAAACTGATGCCCAACACCACACAACTAGTAAGTGCTAGTACCAGGATTTGAACCCAGGCCGACTCCAGCACCTCTGCTCTTGGTTCTCTGATATGCTTCACTGTGTGCTCAAAGCCCTGACATCAGTAAATGCCCAGTGAATGGTGGCTGTGATTTTTATTGTTTTATCATGATTTGGGGGGCGCTCTGACTGGAATTTCTAATCCATTCTGCATCCTTTGAGGCATTTAAATTTTGTCCTTTTTGCTGTAAAGCTCTTGAATTTCCAGGATTAATTTTTCCACTTTTCTTCAAATACTTAAATCACAGGTGCAGCTGCCAAAAGAACTGGCATAAGAGGCAACAGAATAATCTAGAAGAACAAGGAACTGAAATAAAGACTCTTGGATTAAAGCTTGGAGATATTTGAGCAGCATACCATGGATCCAGGTGGTGAACTGGGAACAATGCTAACATCTGATAGGAGTGTTTTGCAAAAGGCAGAATGCTTGGCCCATGACAAAACAGGGGCTGAAAATGAAGAGAGAAGGAGATAAAATAGTAATATCTAGGGGCAACATTTTCTACTTCCAATCAGTTTGAGTGACTTTGGTGAAATTCAGGGTCATGCTTACAGCAGCAGAAGTTAAAAAAATTTTTTTTGGTAAACTTTACTATTGCTTTCTTCTGGTAAATAACAATAAATACTATAGAAGTGTTAACTATTATACTCTCATTTTTTCTCCTTTCATCTCCTCTACTGTAATTCATCACATAGTATCTTAAAGTGAACAAATCATGTTTCACCCTATGGGAATGTGAAAGGTGAATTGAGCTCCAGGCCCTCCTGATGCTTTGAAATAGAATTGTCAATTAGCGCTTCTCTGAAGAATCAGTTGAGATTTCCAGTTTCCAACCCTCCCTGGCTTTCTCTCTTGGCCATTCCCCTAGTGTGTTGGGTATACTTATGAAGGGGTATCTATGAGGAGCAGAACACTTAAGCCACAGGACATGGAGAAAACAAAGTGTTTCCAGAAAAAGTAATGGGAAAAACAAACCCTGCATATATATGAAAACTTCCGTGTTTTCATACATATGGGGACATTGGGAGACAGCATGCTAGTTTTGTAAAAAAAAAATTTTTTTATAAATAATATAGTTGTTGAAAAGCTTTTGGTTTTAGCCAACTATCTTTTCTGTTTGGATTTTTTTTAAAGTTTAGTCTGCGAATCTAATTTAATCATGTTACTCTCCTCAAAAATCTTCTAAGGGAAACTTGCCATGGGATTAAACTTAAATTCCTTATCCTATCACTCAAGGCCCTCCAGTGCCTGTTCCCAATGTAGTAATCCAGTCTTATTTGTCACATATTCTTTGTCCTCCTCTTGATAAAACATCCTCATGCTTTTGTTTTCATTGACTCTTCTATAGAATACAGTAGTGCCCCCTCATGCGTGGTTTCACTTTCTGTGGCTTCAGTTACCCACGGTCAACCATGGTCTGAAAATATTAAATAGAAAATTCCAGAAATAAACAATCCATAAGTTTTAAATTGTGTGCTGTTCTGAGTAATGTGATGAAATTTCATGCTGTCCCCTTCTGTCCTGCTTGGGTGGTGAATCATCCCTTTGTCCAGCATATCCACACTGTATACGCTACCCGCCCATTAGTCACTTAGTAGCCATCTAGGTTATCAGGTCGACTGTTGTGACAGTGCTTGAGTTCAAGTAACTCTTATTTTACTTAATAACGTCTCCAGAGTGATAGAGTAATGATGCCGGCAATTTGGATATACCAAAGAGAAGTCGTAAAGTGCTTCCTGTAAGTGAAAGTTCTGGACTTAATAAGGAAAGAAAAAAATTATATGCTGAAGTTGCTAAGATCTACGGTAAGTTTTATCACAGTATATTGTTGTAATTGTTCTATTTTATTATTAGTTGTTGATCTCTTACTGTGCCTAATTTATAAATTAAACTTTATCATAGGTATGTATATATAGGAAAAAACGTAGTACAGTCATGCATCACTTAATGACAGGGACACATTCTGAGAAAGGAATCCTTAGGGGATTTTTGTCGATGTGCAAACATCATAGAGGGTACTTACACAAACCTAGATGGTATAGCCTACTACACAGCTAGGATGTATGGTACTAATCTTACGGGACCACTGTCATATATGTGGTCTGTCATTGACTAAAACATCTTTACATGGCACATGACTGTATATACAGGGTTTGGTACCATCCATGGTTGCAAGCATCCACTGGGGGTCTTGGAACGTATCCCTCGTGGGTAAGGGGTGACTGCTGTACCCCCCAAGAGACTTCCTTCCTGCTCTCCCTTATGAAAGTCCTACCCCATCTTCAAACCCAGATCAGGTCCCAATCCTCCTCAAAAATCTTCCAGACAACTCCAACCCCAGTGTTCTTTCCTCCTTCCAAGTTCCTAGAGGGCTTAATTATCTGTTCTGGTCACTAGGTGCAGAGAATCTGAAATTTTGCATAGAAATGGTGCAAACCCTACAAAATAGGAAATCAAACTTTGGTGCCTTTTCTTTCTTCTTTACCTGAGTGAATAATTGGCACCTGCCTTCTTTCTCCTTTTACATAATCATAGGTGGCACATAAGCAAAGCAGGCTAGGAGGGAGGGGACTTAAAGGGGACAAACTTAAAACAATACATTATTTGGAAGAACAAGCCATTGAAAAGAAATATGATTTTCCATTATTAAAACATAATTAAGCGTGTACAAAAGTATCCAAATTTAAATAGTTACAGTTTTCAATCAAGTAACTAATTTTAGAATAGCCATTGGCTGAGAGTTGTGTTTTCCCCTGCTTTACTATTCTATAAAACATTCTTGCATACAAAGCAGGATAGTTAAGAAAGGCTGCAGTAAAGAAAACTTTTTAAGTGTCTAGCATATTCTACATATAAGAGCCTAAACTCTGATAGGACAAAGCTCTGAACATATTTAAAAGTTTAATGAATATTAGTAGTTGAAGTTTTGGAAAGCCCTTATGCATTTGCTTGTTTGGCCACAGTACTAATAAAGTCAGGAATTTCAAAAAGTACTAATAAATACTCCTGAAAAAGGACTTTAATCTTACACGTGCAAAAGAAAAGACGATCTAAATTCATAGGTTGCTGCTTTAATACACAGATCTTGTCGAGAGACAGGTGAAGTAGTTCACATTATGCTTTTTCGATCCACCCACTCCCACCTTAAAAATCTCTTAGTTGAAGATTCTAACTGGTTTTTAAAATGTAATAATTTATAGCATTAACATGCTACATTTTTCTATTATCCTTCCAGAACTGACCACCAACCATGAGTATTATAATGAGTATATTTTTTATTCACGTTGTCACTTTCTCCAAATTTATTGCATTTAGTCTGCAAAATTCACCATGTAGAAAATGGAAGAGGCTAAAATGTGTATAAACCCATGTCAGGTTTAAAAAAGGACCCCATTGGAATTCAATTTTATTCTGGCTGGAGATGAATAAAGTATTAAAATTTTATTAAACAGTATCTGAAACACAAGCTGAGTGTTTGCTGTATAGTACATCCTCATCATTTACAGGGCTGTCATCAAGTTCCTCAGATAGTTAACCCAGATGTGCATTAAATAAAGTCTCACAAAAAAAAACCTTTGATAAATTTTATTCTTCATATTTGGGTAAGGGTACAAATTCTAGACCATGTCTGTGAAGTCACGGTGATATCACTGTGCTAGAGATAAAGGCTGCAGGCTGGCTGAGAAATTCAAATGCAAGAAAAATCAGGAGCAGCATATGCTGTTGCTTCTTATTCTAGGACCTACAGAGAGTCTCTTCAGTGAGTACTGCTCCAATTGTCTCCGTAATTCAAGGTTAGGGAAACCTACACGTTTTCTATTCATCTATGAAATCACTCAAATGGCAAGCAAAACATGTTGTATAACCTATTTCTAAACACATGGGAAATAGAAGGAAGAAAGTAATAGAATATATAAACTCATGCTATCTATCTTAATTCTAATGTCTATAAAAACATGTGGTTGTAACAATTGCTATCTAAAATTTTTATGAACTGCACAAGCCAGTGATCACTCCCATTTTCATTCCTATTTTAAAAGTCTTTTTACTTGGTCATCTAAAGATGCTGTTTAGATTTCAAAAGACGAGCCATCATTGTCCTCTTTGTGCCCCTAAGGAATTAATAGAACACACATTCATTTACTTCTTTCTAAATGTTCCAGTCAAAAACTAAACAATGAAAAACACCTGGGAAACATTACCTTGGACACATTTTTCTCATTACAACAACAAAAAATGTACAATATAAACAGAACTCAAGTTTTGTTTTATTTTGGTTTTTTGTTTTTTAACAAGACTGTCAAAAATAATACAGGTTACATAGCTGTAACCTCCTTAAAGAAGATGACATTTAGTTTGCAACAAATACCTACTAGTAAAAACACACCACTAGCATTGCAAGAATTTACAAAAAATTGACAAAATATTCTCCTAAACAGCTATCTTTATATTTGTAAACAAAATATAAACAACTGGTTTATCCAGTTTCCACTGCACATCAAACAGGCGGCAAAGTGATAGAGATCATCTTTGATTTTAAAAGAACAACAATAAAAGCCAAACTAATTTATACCCCCCATATTATAATCCTAGGGAATATTTTTGGAGGAGGATGCTGGGGGGATTAAAACAGGCTAATATGTGACATCATCTACTTACTAACAGTCTTTTCATTTACTCATATTGCCTTGATACTTTATAATTACATTTTTTCCTATAACAGTATTGTTGCTGTACAAGCCATAATTCTTTTATTTTCTTTTATTCTCCTAAAGAAATAAGTGTGATCCATTTCCTATCAGTTTTCATAAACACACTTGAAACTTCAGACATAATAGGAGGGTGGTTTCTTTCAGTTTCTGAGGTCTTCTCCCTGTAACATCAGAGATGTTAACAGTTTGGCCTATACGTGCATGCCGCCATAGATAGTTGGATGGTACGTGCACCTCCTATTTCAAAAATACAAATGGAAAGTAGGTCTGGACAAAGGCAAACTGCAACTTCAACTCGATTTCTGCTGCAACCCTATCACCAGGTCAGCTCTATTTATTCCTTCACTTTACTGATATAGTCAGTGAGTTTGTTGAAGCTTTCTTCCTGCTGTTCTAGGGCATCCAGGACAATGCCCATTGGCGTCCTCTTCAAACCTATTCCCTCCATTTTATTCTCCAGCTTGTTCTTGAGATTCCGAAGTCTCAGCGATGCATGGATAAACATCACTACGGAGAAGTGAAACATGGTTAGCACCAAAGCATCAGTTATCTTTCCCCGTAACAACATTACACTCCCTCTCTTCACACTTTCAGTAAACTGCCTCAGCTAGCAATAGTCCAATCTGGTTCTCTAAGTGATCCAAGCCCTCAAATGGATCCTTGGACTTTATATAAAGCTCTTTGTCAAGTCATACATAAAGTTTTCTCCATATGTGAAGGAAAATGTTGTATTCAGCAGGAAGGACCATAATCTGGCAGCCACATTTTTTTCTTCCCACATTGATATCATTACCTTTCAGCTACTTAAATGCCCTGAAAAATCAACATAGTTCCAACCTACATAAAAATCGACTTACACCAAGTTTTCCAGAAAGGAACTCATGCCCATTTCAGGGATTACCTGTATTTTGTTCCCTATGGGAAACATAAGGGTGAAGTCCAATTAGCAGGTGCTTCCTAAGAGGCAGTTTTCCAAAGTGTTGGATATAGATTTACAAATAAAAAATAAAGGTTTTACCTGATATATCCTAGTATTCCCCAAATTTGCTCCATCATTAAGAATTACCCAAGTTTGTTCATTAAGGAACAGATTCCCAGGCCCCCCTCCTGGACCTCCTGAACCAGAACCTTAAAGGGATGGACCTGGGAATCTGTATTTTAAACAGGCACCTCAGATGACCTATACCAGCAATATTCAAACTCCCGTGTACATACAAATCACCCAGAGAACCTGTTAAATAGGCAAATTCCGGGTCTCCACCACCCAAAACTCAGACTGTTAAGACTAAAGTAGGACTCCAGAATGTAAAATTTCAACAATCACTCTGGATGATTCCTACATAGGCGATCTTGGACCCTCATTTTGAGAAACACTGATGTGCATTCCATCTGGAGGCTCCCAACCTAGACTGACCATTAGAAACATTTGAGGAACTTTCTCAAAATACAGGTTCTTTGGGCACTACTGTTGACCCACAGAATCAAGATCTGCAAGGGATGTGGCTGGGAAATTTGTATTTTTTAATAAGCATCCTGGATGATTCTCACAATCATCAAAGTTTGGGATTGATCTTGTCTAATTTTCTTATTTTATAGATGAGCGAACTACAGGCCATATAGGAAAACTGGTTCAAATCACGTGGCTGGTTTCCAGCAGGTCAACGAATAGAAATGAGGATCCCTGACTCTCTACCTATGACACATTTCATTACGCTGGCCTGTCTCAGGCTCTGACGTGGAAAGGTACTCAAGTTAACAAGCTGTGTGTTTAAGCAGAAGCATTGAAATACTAAGCCTCTAGCACATAAGGAAAACCGGAAGAATATTTCAAAAAGTCTGAATTTCCTGATTCAAACATTTTGTCTAATAAGGTGTGGGATTCATCCACAAATATTCTGGGCTTAAACTAACAAAACCCCAAACAAACAACTGATTTTATTTAATGGAATAAATGTACACATGAAATGCTATTAAAAGTGAAAGGGATGTTCCTGTCACATAATACACTAGAATTTGAGTCAGATTTCTGATGATGAGACTGGAATTTTTTCTGTTCTTTATTTCAGGCTTCAAACATTTGGGATCTCAGTAAACGATGCATTTAAAATTTAGAAAGTATCTAGTTCTCTTCACCAGAATTGGAGTACTTGGTGTCTTATATTCTGGGCCAATTATTTCTTTTGAAAACTTAGAAAACTTTTGACACTAATTATGATTTTCTGAGTAAGCAGAGAGTAAATAGTTTACTTTCAAATGAAATACATTCATTCCTGTGTCAGGACACTATGAATGACACTTAAAGATTGAGAATAGACTCTAATATCAGACAAATCGGGAGTCCAGCACAGGGCTATGGAACCTTCTTGCCATATGACTTGGGATTTGTATTTCTCTTGTTAACTGTTGTGTCCTCAGAAGACTATCTGGCACAGAGCAGGTGCCCAATACATATTTGTGGAATTAATGGACTATTAGGCCTTGATCTGCTGTTTCAGAAAATTCTGATAATTTTGCAGATATGACAACACACATAAGAAACAGGTTATATAATTCCCGTGGAACAATCATGCCTACATTTTTTATGATATAAGAAAAGGAAGACTCAGGTTCACTTACGCAACAAAGGAAAAGTGATGCCAAACACAAAGACCATGACTCCCCCAAACATGGATATGAGGAAATAGCTAGCCACCATGACCACCATGACAAATGTCGTGGGGTACTGCTTCTTCATCCGGCGGAGGATGTCTTTATTGTGGGCTGCCCACACAAACCCTGTGAACACCAGCACCACCACAATTCCTCCAAGGATCATGTTGAAGGGGCTCAGGAACCTGGAATACGAAAAAAAGAGGAAAGGTAGGTCAACAGTCGTAGTAGCAGGAAGAGGAAGATGAGGAAGGGGAGGAGGAGTAAAAACAAGTGGTGAGTACTTACTAAGCATTAGATCTAAATTGTCTCATTTAATCCTCATAACCTGATGAGGTAGATACTATTAATTCATTTCTCAAATGAAGAAACTTAGGTGCAGAGGTGAGAAAATGGTGGAGCTAAAATTCACACCCAGGCAGTTTGACTCCCACCAAACTTGTCAGTCCATCTCATTAGAGGCCCACAATTTTACAAGACTTTTAAAATTTAAAAGAGACCCCCTTGTTTGGAGGGGCTGTGTTTAGCTATCATACATCCTGGGCTCTGGTACACATTAGATGGTATTTTCTGAGCTCTAAGGACTTATTTAAAATCCTGATAGAAACTGCCATGACAGGTGAATGCAGAGTAGAGGTCACACAGCGGCCTCCATGGGCCAGATTCAGTCTACAGTCACATTTTTGTTTGGCCTGTACAATGTTTTAAAAAGCTTTTACTTGAATCCCAATGTGTTAAAAACAATCCATAAAACTTTGGATTTCATGCTTCCTCTGGAAACAAGAAAATCTAACACTAGGCCCACTTTCCCACATGTCAACAACTGGCTGAAGCCCCTTCTCATTCAGATAGAACAAATGCTCTCCATTCAGCCCCAGTCCCCAACACTATCTACTGCATCTCTGACACAGAGGCCCCCAGTCAGCTGCCATTGATCACTGTTTTTCTAATAGCTGGTCTGCATTGGTCCTTACGTAACCTGCCTGGCCCATGGAGGCATTTGAGTTTATGACTCTAGGCATAGACAGTCCATTATAATTCTTTAAAAGGGCCCAGAGTATCATTAGGAGATGGGTCATCAGCTGAGATTCCCAAGCACAGAGCCTCCAGATTCATTGTTACATGAGCCAAAGGTTACACTACTATTGATAACAGAGGAACACATCATGAAGAGGAAATTTAGACAAATATTTCATAAGTGAGAATGACCAGGCATTGTAACCCCCAACCCCAACCCCAACCTACTGTGTCTACTAAACCCTTAACAAGACATTTGTGGTCTTGGGGAACGACAAAGGGGGTCAGTGTGTTTTCATCATGCTCTGAATATCAACATGACTGCTTTAGAAATGAGGGACAAGGGAAGACAGGATAATGGAAAGTGATGCCAAGAGCTTACTTTCGCTGAAACAAAACAGACGACGGATTCATACTCATACTGGGATTCATATTTAGGGTAACTAAGATTCTTTTTTAAAAAATCTCTTAAATTTTAGCTCTGATTCTGCCTCCTGAAACATGAAAGCTACTTTAAACAGTTTCAAAAAGGAATGAAAGTTATTACATACCTTAATGGGTGAAATCAAGGATATAAACTGCTTTGAAAAAGTTAAAAATTTCCATTAAAATGCATGGAATTAAGGGGTAAGAGTAGTGAGTGGTAAGAGTAGCAGCACATAATTTAAAATTAAACCCTATAATAATAAGTTTATTATTTCATTCAAAACTCTTGTGAATACTTATACTCTTCAAGGCAATAAAACCCCTCCTCAGAATAAAGTCCAAGGAAATAAAAATGCAAAGATTGACTTGTAACAGTATTCACATGAGTGGTATTTATGATTAAAAACTTTTAGAAATAACCTATACGGCCAACAATTTACTACATGGGGGTACTTACACTATTTTTAAAAAGTTGAAGTATACTTAATAATATGGGAAGACATTAATAATATATTGAGTGGGTAAAAGCAATTCTAATACATTCTCTCTGTTAGGAGGATTTATCATATATATTATATAGCTCAGAAGTAGAAATTTTTATATTTTGTATATTGTTTTGCAATCAGAAATAAAATGAACATATAAAAAAAGAAAACATAAAAGCAACAGTTCCCCAGCCCCACAACCCAGGCTTGCAAAGGCCAACTACAACAGTCCACCTTTTTTTCCATCATCTCTCCAATAACATTAATGCAATTTCAATTTATTAATTGAATTGAACCAGTGAACTGTTCCTTTTCCCAGCCAAACCTTGGTTCCTGGCCCATTCCCCAGATCCTTCTGCAGCCAATGTGCACCACCCCATCCCTCAAGCTTTCCCAACACCCAGCACACGTGCCATTCTGTCTGTCCTCCTTCTCCCTCAGTTCTTCACATCTGGATCTACTTAGTCTCTCTGTACTTTTTTTCTTTTCTTTTTAAAAATTTTATCTGGGTTATACTCTGTTTTCTGATTTAACCCCGGAATTGGTCTGGACAAGATAAAAATTTCCGTATAGGCCTGGGGAACAGATGAACTGGACAGGACAAAACCAAAATCATCTTTAGCAGGTAGGGGCAGGGAGACTGAGTGGAGAGGCCTGGAAACTCTCACAGATTAGTAAATCTCATTCCAAGCACCAAAAAGAATCTGACAGAAATTATACTAAAAGACTACAGTAGTTATACCGGGTAGTAGGATCCTGGGTAGTTTATTCCCATTTGCTTATTTTCATATTTTTTTCAATAGCCATGTATTAGTTGAATAAGAAAAAATTAATGTTTAAAAATGAACAAATGAAAACAGGGAAAGGTGCCTGAAAGAAACAAACCATTTTACATAACCTTGACTTTGACCTAGAACCCACCCAAATATTTCTGAGCTATAAAGAAAAGCAAAGATCAACATTAACTCAAAGAAGTAGAGTGGAGGGTTCAAGTTTAAAGAAACTTCTTTGCATAGCTGCAAATGGGAGATGGCGGGTTGGCAGCCAAGTGTCAAAAGTCACCTACCCAGTTCTTTCTCGAATACCTATTAAAATAATAAAATCATGAAGTGAGGTACAATAAAATGCACGCCAAGCTTTTTCTATTTTCCTCTGGACAAGTAATGTAGACATCTAGGTTGACTGTCTAAATAAAGCCAAGGACAGAGAACAATGAAAAATCCAGGCCTGATAAGCAATTCCAAATTTGCTTTTCACCTGTTCCTGTTGCTCATGTTCAAGGAAAGAGAACAGAGCAAAGAGTCTTATAGAACTGGTTTTAGCTGACAACACGCCCAGCCACAATCCATAATTAGAAAGTAACCAAGTTTCCAAGCTGGAAAAAATGAACAGTTACTCGAGCAGAAATGATTTTCTTCCTTATTCTACTTACGGGCAATTCCATTCCAAGAAATGGTAAAAGGCACACCATTCCAATGCCCTGGCACCTAACCTGTACTTGGAGCAAAATAAAAAACACACACTACCCTCCAGAGATTAATTTCATTTTCCAGTGAGTGCAGGAATTTGGGAACCAGTTCTTATCTGAGATGAGTAAAGCTTATACTCAACAGCTGGGCTCTTAGTGACGCAAGTCACAATAAGGCCCAAGAACCTTTAGGACACAACTTTCATACATATGCCACCCCAGCTTTCAAGCGGATAATTGCCTTTGGGTTCAGATGGGTGATAGGGCGTGAATGAGAGATGAGGAGGGGAGGCAGGAAGATAGAAGGAAGGGAGGAGGAGAGGGAGGGAGAAGGGGAGAGAGAAATGAGGGAAAGAGGGGGAGAGGGAGGGAGGACTGGGAGAGAGAGAGAGAGAGAGAACGTGATTTTCTGCCTGATTTTCTGCCTTTGGCGGAAGTAGGACGCAATTTTACAAATCAAAAACACTAAGTATGTTTTTCTATTGTGAGATAAAAATACATACATACATACATACATACATATCCCATTCAAATAAAGAAATAAATGTGATAGTTAAAAATTCTAGTGGAATCATTGACAGTTGTAAAAAGGTTTAGAATCTCATCACAGAATCCTGTAGCAGAGTCTTCAAAGATGTATCAGTTCAATCTCATTACACAGATGAATAAACTGAGGCCCAGAGAAATGATGACATGTATTCAAAGGGATCCAGGGGGAGAAAAAAGGGTGCCATCGATGTAACTGTGACAGCAATTCACAATATAACCCATTCTGCGTTGTTAACCAGCTTCAGGAATTTCCTTCCTCCAACCATTCTAAGTAACCCCGTCCTTCCAGGTGGAGCAAGCAACTAAGGATCATCCTGGGAAATTCTTCAGCATTCTCATTTCTTTCTGAAGGAAGGTGGCCATTAGCGGGTTTGGACACGTGTCTTAAACTTGGCAACATGATTCAGCTAGCTATATCTATAGATTCAGCACAAGCTGCTGAAGGGAAAAAAAATCTTGGCCAATCACAGAATTTTAGAGCTAGGGGAGATTTTGAAAACTCACTTCATTCTACATATAAACAAGCTAAGGAACAGACAGTTAATAAATTTGTCCCAAGACCACCAATCGCAGAGTTTGGTGATAAAAGTTCACCAAAAGAGAGATCCTCAGATCAACTCAAGTGCACATTTGTAACTCCTGTCATGCTGCAATGCCAACAAGACCCAAAGAGGCAGTGAAATATTTCTGAGCAGCAGAAGCAGCTTTGCACTGAGTTCCAATTTTCTGGCCCAAAAAGCTATTTTTGTAGTTTGGTTCCTGAGGAAGCCTGACTCACCAAGAAAGTGGGGAACAATTTACTCATAGCGGACTTCTCTAACTTGGCGATGTTTTTCCACAGTCCTTCAACAGCCAGAGAGATCACTGCAAATACAAATCCACCCATCCATTTTCTTGCCTCTGCATCCTGGGCCACTACATACAATTGTGTAGTTTGTACCTCGGACAAGGCCTGGCTGAGGGGGTGAGTGGGCCCTGAAATCCAGGCTACGCTTCACTTGCCAAGCCTGTGATTTGGCTTAAGCTGCATCTGCTAAGAGTAAGGGGCGCTTTTAATAATATATACTAATAATTAGTATGAGGGAGCCCTAAGGGCTAGCAACATCCCTGCCTGCCAGCTTTCTCATACCACCTCCTCCTGATTCTGCACTCCATCCGCTGGGGCTTCTCTCTCTAGAACTCATCCTGCCTCTGGTCGTCACAGGTATGTGCACAAGCTGTTCTCTCTGCCTGATTCACT